CATTTTCGCAACGTGGCCGTAGTCAGAGGCGCCGGTAGTAGACGAGGAAGAAGAGGCCGAGGACCCAGGCGCACGAGGAAAAAGACGGATCGACTAGGAAGAACACAAGAGGACGCAAGAAGACCGTCTCCCTCTCTCTCCCTCTCTCCCCCCTCTCTCTCTCTCTGAATCTGAAAGATGAGATTCTATTGCCTAAGTCATATATTATTTGTTATATTCTATTGTGAAATACTATTCTCACACCTATTGAATGACTTATGATGAATATCAGGGGTGAAATAAAATATTTCATATGTTAATAAATGTCACTTATCTGAATTTTTGCCCAGAAGACAACATAGCTACTTTTCCACGCTACACATTAAAATTTAAAGACTCACATTATATTCAAATAACATATTGAGATAACACAGTATCTGTTCCGATGCTTTTAACGAAATTCATAATGTCAAAAAAATGTAATTTAACTTTGACTTCATATGTAATCCTTGCAATCAATTGAGATATGAATGGAATGAGAGTACTTCAGGGTTAATATTACTTTTTATAATAAAAGACATGCAATTTCTCAATAGAATTACACTCTAAAATAAACTTTATTTCTATTGCTTTTAATACATAAATTAAAATGAATTTTAACTTACTGCAAAGTACTTCATCACTGAAGTCTCCACAATCATTGTCACCATTGCACGTCAATGTTTCATTAATGCATAATCCATTAGCACAATGATACAATCCAGGTGTGACACACTTTGTGCTATTGACAACTAAACAGCAAAAATACATTAGAAACTACAATTTTCTTGTTAATGTTAAAGTTAAGAAAATCAATTTAGTAAATAGTTTAATAATTTGCAACATACCACACACTTCTCTGTCTTCATCAGATCCATCATCACAATCTTTTTTACCATTACATTTCCAAGCTTCAGGTATGCACCGTCCATTGGTGCAACGAAATTCATTGCTCACACAAGAATGTCCACAGGATTTGGGTTCATCACTTCGATCATCACAATCATAATCTGAATCGCAATAGAATTCCTACAAATTGTAATCAAAATTAGAAATTAAGTTTTTTTTATTTTTCCTATGCAAGAATTATGTTTTCATTTCCTTTGTTTTATATAAAGCATTCAGAGCTCTGAAACACCCATTTCAGTAAATAAAAAGGAGAGAATTAAGAATTTATTATTTTTTTCA